GAAGCGGAGCGTTACTTATTGTTTACTTCAAAATTGCGGGTCTAACTTTGATGACAACCTAGAGGACATTAAGATATGAATGTGTCTTCCCAACTGTGAAGAGTGGTAGAGTAGTATCATGATGTGGGTCTATCTTTGATGACACCCTAGAGGACATTAAGATATGAATGTGTCTTCCCACCTGTGAAGAGTGGGAGAGTAGTATCATGATGTGGGTCTAGCTTTGATGACACCCTAGAGGACACTAAGATATGAATGTGTCTTCCCACCTGTGAAGAGTGGGAGAGTAGTATCATGATGTGGGTCTAGCTTTAATGACACCCTAGAAGACACTAAGATATGAATGTGTCTTCCCAACTGTGAAGAGTGGAAGAGTAGTATCATGATGCGGGTCTAACTTTGATGACACCCTAGAAGACACTAAGATATGAATGTGTCTTCCCAACTGTGAAGAGTGGAAGAGTAGTATCATAATGCGGGTCTAGCTTTCATGACACCCTAGAAGACACTAAGATATGAATGTGTCTTCCCACCTGTGAAGAGTGGTAGAGTAGTATCATGATGTGGTTCTAACTTTAATGACAACCTAAAAATGCTTAAAATAATGTGTACCACTTGTTTAAAAGGAGTTTTTACCTATGTACATTGTACCATGTTTTATTTTTTATGAATTATATATATCACAACATACGAGTGAGCAACGTTTCGGCCTCTATGGTGAGACCTTCATCATGTCTTTGAATAAGCTGTTGTAATTGGTCAGGTGTTTACAGTGTGGTCCATCTTTAAAGACATGTTTACTCAGGTCTGTGGTTTGACATCACCAGTGTTGTTGCATTTGTATTGAAGAGTGAATGTGTGGTGTTACTTGTGTAGTGTGGTGGATGTACTGAGTGTGGTGTTCAAATTTCGTTAGAGTCAAGACCTTTGTCGTGGTTGAGGATGGACTGGCTGATTTTAATAAAGAATGATTATTTTTACTTTGTTTTTTCATCAGTGCTGTGAAACGCTAAGAACTTGACGTAGATCTGAACCTTGAGTATAGTCGATGTTGTAGTTATGCTCAACAAGAGCACATTTCTCAGTAATTTATAGTACTTTGGTGGTTTTGTGAAATCTTATTTTTTAACCTATGATTCTATCAGTTTCTCTGATATATCAATCTCCACAGAAACTGGGAACTTTGTAGAAGACATTTTCTGCTTTTACTTACAAATCTAATATGTGACTTTTGCAAATGTATTTTTGGAATTTAATCGGTTTTGAAGTGAGCTAATTTGGCGCTTATTTTAGTGTGTTTAGAAGAGCGACGGTAGTAGGAGTATTTGACGCATTTTGATGGTTGGTTAATTCTATTTGTCAGGATCATTCACATGGGACGCTGTAGATAATGATTAGCTTGAAAAGAATTGTTACGAGTTATTTTCCCACTAAGTTAATTTTTATCTTATATTTCTGTTAAATGTTCAAAAAGCTACTTGGTTATTAGATTGGTGATATAGAGAATTAGGTCTGAAGCTTAAATGTCAGTTACAGTGTGCATATCTTCTGTAAACAGATGGTCATGTCTCTGGATGAGTATGTTTAAGAAAAACTGAAGAATTCTATTTGCATAAGTCTGTATTGTGAAGTGGTTGTTTTGGTCTAAGGAATTCAGATATTTTAAGAAGCTGTCTAAGGTATCAAGTATGTGTGACAAGGTCTGTATTGTGAACTGGTTGTTTTGGTCTAATGAATTAAGATATTTTAAGAAGCTGTCTAAGGTATCAAGTATGTGTGACAAGGTCTGTATTGTGAACTGGTTGTTTTGGTCTAATGAATTAAGATATTTTAAGAAGCTGTCTAAGGTATCAAGTATGTGTGACAAGGTCTGTATTGTGAAGTGGTTGTTTTGGTCTAAGGTATCAAGTATGTGTGACAAGGTCTGTATTGTGAAGTGGTTGTTTTGGTCTAAGGTATCAAGTATGTGTGACAAAGTCTGTGTTGTGAACTGGTTGTTTTGGTCTAAAGTATCAAGTATGTGTGACAAGATTACAAAAGAGTGATCTGCAAATCGTTTTCACATACATAATTCAAATATGGCGGAATTTAGGGCCTTCTTTGCACCGCACTGCTTTTTGGCAAAACAAGTTAATCCTTTGCACGCGCCTGACGTTCCCGTTTTTTAATTCCATACTTGGCCAAAGACAAGAGACATGCTCGAGTTCCAATAAATCCGTTCAAAAACATAAAAACTAGAGATGACTACGAATTTGTGTTAACTAAGAAAAACTCATCTGGCTTAAAAACAAATACGACTTTACACTAGACTATGAAATACGTTTTAAAAACCAAAATAATACGTTAACAACCATTACATTACCTTGTTAACTGATACTCACATACAAAATATACTCAAACCATAAGTACATTAAAATATTCAGACCATCAATAAGAATAATGTAATCCCAAAATTAACTAAGAATTTAGGCAAAAATTTAAATTTGGGTCCAACAACAAAGTTATTGTGGCAACTAACCTATATCACAGATTTATAGTTCATAAAATTCTGATTCAAATGACCATGTTTTGCTTGGTTGTTTGCATAAAACTTTAAATATGCATATATATATATATATATATAGGATTATAAAAGTAAGAAGAAATATTAAAAGCAAAACAAATAGGCCTAATTTAAGACATTCAGGGTTAAAACTGTATATATATAAAAATAATTAAGAATATATGCACTCTAAGATTTTTATTTTTTTACACTGTGAAAAAGATTGATTCCTATTTCTAGAGATTTAAAGCCGTTTATTTTAATTCTAGGTGATTTTTATATCACATATTCTAGAATTATATTGAAATTTACTTAAAACTAAGCCCCTTTCCCGGTAGTTAAGAGGTAAACTTGAGATTGTGTAATACCAAAATTCGGGGTTCGATACTTCCAATGGACACAGCATTAAAAGCCAATTATGCAACTTTGCACTTAAAAAAACTTAAAATTAAATAAGAAATATGTATTATTAGGATGATGTTTTGAATCTAGAATCTAAGTAATGATTGTATATCATTTATACTTATATATTAGGCCCGGCATGGCCAGGTGGTTAGGGCACTCGACTCGAAATCTGCGGGTCGCGGGTTCGAATCCCCATCACACCAAACATACTCGCCCTTTCAGCCGTGGGGGCGTTGTAATG